CTTGTCAGGGTGGAAGGGAACAGTATATAAAAGATGAGAGATGAGATGATTTACCCACTGTCGACCATTTACCTCCATTTTTGCTAGTCATCCCACGGCTCTTTTGTTCCACTGGGGAACTTTGTCTGTTTCTAAATTCACTTCTCCCTTTATTTAAGCGAGTGAAGTCTTTTTCTTACCTTTCCCCTCATGTTATCTTGATTCCAAGAAGGATATCACGGAAAACTAACCTTATACCTCAAAGTGGATAATGGTTAGAAATGCTCTCATGTTCTCAAACTACAAACTTATACCCCATTCACACCAGCAAAACATGTTCAGTTAACCAGGGTTTAACCAAATGAAAATCAGTGAAAGAAAACTAAAAACTGAATCTTTCATCGTATTAAAAATTCACCAACCATTCTTCTCAATTTGCTAAATTTGAGGCCGACAAACATCTTTTCAAGCAGCTTCCATGTTGAAAATAAATCTAGACAGTGTTTGACAAAACAGCTTCAAAACATGATTAAGCTTTGGTGTGATTGAGGTATCAGCACACCAGTTTCTGTCGTGCTAAGACTGACAATTTCAGAGCTGTAAGAATACCAATCAAGATTGTGAAGTCAAAATGATTTATGTGCAAAGAACAAAGGAAGGAAAACTTGCCGGTATCGAACACTAAGTCAATCAAGAACAGTTTCTTCTCATATTTTCGTGTTGAATTGTCTTTCGTTATCTGGACTTGAGATACCTTGAGCCTCAAGCAGAGGGCGTAAATTACTCGATAGTTCACTCTTTCTTCGCTATATAAACACCATGGGACTTCCTCTTAGAACTATATCACTGCGGAAGAGGTCACCTGTCATTCTAAGGGGTTACCCGCGATTTTAACCCCATTTAGGAACACAGGAATGTTTGAATCCTGGTGCCAAATTCACTTTATTATAAAAGAATAATGGAATGAACGCCTTCATGCTTTACTCTTGGAAAATCTGTTTTCGAAGATATTTAGCCTTCTGGGTATCCGCCGCTTTCGCCCCCTATCGAGTTCGTCCCTTCGGGTTCGCCCCTACCTTATACCGTGTTCGCCCCCACACTTTTCGAGTTCGACCCCATCAAGTCGAGTTCGCCCCTTGATTGAGTGATATCCAGATGAGTTGATTCGTAAGTTGATGAGTAAATTCTTCAGTCTTAATTTCATAAATAAAGCTAAACGGGTACAAGTCTAACAACTTAAGCAATGCTGTTGCGATGAAAGCGTGGTTTGCATCTTCTCAAGTCTGGTTGTTACGATCAACACATTTCGTGTTCGTTAGATAAACCGTGTGGTTCTCTTTATCACAAGTTCAGTGTATACAGTTATTTCTGGTAACCCCAGATCCCACGCAGAGTATTTAGTTGATTCCGTCAACCCAGTTCCCAAGCAGGTTCCACGCAATTGCCGAAATTCAAAATGATCGTCGCTGACGCGACATTTGGCACATTCTGTTAGTGCCCTCGTCATAAATCAACTCATCTGGATATCACTCAATCAAGGGGCGAACTCGACTTGATGGGGTCGAACTCGAAAAGTGTGGGGGCGAACACGGCATAAGGTAGGGGCGAACTCGAAGGGGCGAACTCGATAGGGGGCGAACGCGGTGCAATTCGCCTTCTGTAATGGCATCATTTAGTAGGCTTAAGTAACCGGGTAAGTACACGCAAATTGTGAACTCTTGTACACGATCAAATTATAGCAAGTTATAAAGTCGTTCCAGTCCTTTCTTTTGATCAGCGAAGAAATATCACCGGTCGCTCTTAAAAACTGTTCCCTTCGGTTTATTTCGCATATCGCTCATGTGGTGCATGGCAGCGTTTCAAAACGTTTCTCGTACGATCTCACATTGGATAGTGAATAACTTGGATTATAATAATCGAAGCCCAAAATCTGTACACAGATCTTTATAAAAAAAAATTCAGTTGGCTTCGAACATCATGTACAGATTCATTTTCAAAATGTTTTAAAAAATGCTCATAAAGATGACTTTTTAATTCACTTACAAAATTGGTGCTCCTCGACGCGTTTTAAAATTCTTTAGATATAATTTCTTGGAATATTCAGGAATAACTATGATCCATCAAATAATTGGCGTGTTGAAATAACGAGAGCATTTTGAGCCACCTTGAACAAGAAGCCAGCAAGGCTGATGGTCGTATTTTAAGATGTTATCATTTTTCCTAGTACTGTATTTATCACTTTTTTTTTATAACTATACCGATCATGGTTCCTCAACAAATAGTACAATCTGATTATCAGCGACACTCGCTATCTATTCCACGACCGAAAGTGAGCAAGAGATTTTATAGTCTTTCGTAATGAGCAAAGTGAGTGGACTGACTATTATCTGCTTTTGACGAGGTTTAACTTTTTTTTTGTTTTTATTATTTCTCTTCATTCATATTATAACAGGTTTCTAGGAATAACAAGTATTTACGAATTTATTGATTTTGTTATCACTCGTATGGATACAAACCGAAATGGACTTCACTCAGTCCTATTACCATTACTTATTATCATAAATGTAATCATGAAGAAATAAACAAGAATGCATTTTAAAAATAGCACGGAATTTTAAAAAACCCTAGTGTATTTTATTAACAATCACGCGACAGAGATCTCGAAACCAAACGTTATTCTAAGTTATATATTTATTGTAATATCAAGATAGTTGCCTTCTTTGAACATTTTAGATGAAGTTACATTACTCTTCGTGGGAGATATTTCCTTCTCTGAGCCCATCAAATACTATGTTGACCACAAGTACCATACGTACAATGATACTTTCAATGACGTGGCTCCTTTCATCAGAGAGGCGGACATTTCAGTGGGTAATTTGGAGTCGCCATTTGCCAACCAATATGCTCTTACTCACCTTTACCGAGGGAGAAAAACAGTTTTGCTATATGCCATTCCTAAAGCTGCATCAGCGCTCAGGTGATGGCCTTATTTTCACTATTGCTTAAGTAGTGTTCATCACTGCGAAAATCGCCTTCATATTCACAGTATCGATTCTTTTCATACCTTTTACGACAATCTCGAGATGAGCAACAGCGTGAAGAAATGATTCTATGTACAAAATAAAATTTGAATCTAAGATTGAGCTGAGATCATAATCGCAAGGTTTGCATTACATCAGTTAAAAAATAAAACAAAAGAAACGACATCAAAATATTTAGAAACAAACAAACAGGCGCAAATACATTGATTCCGCCCGCCTATTGCTTGTCTTGAAGTGAATCTGATCAATACTTATTGAGTAAATCCTAACCTGAATATTAAGAAAATATAATAAAAAATTTCATCAATACGATAAAAGAATTTCATAACAAGGAAGAATATGAAGGTAACTTGCCAAATATTTTTTTAGCACCGTTTTCAGCCATCTCAGAAGTGAGGACCTGGTCTGAATTATTTGTTTGCAATGAGAAGTTTTCAAGCCTAGTAGCAGGGTATATATTGCACATACCCGATAGTTATACTCTTGTATCCTCCAAGCAGGTTTGCAGGATTTGATGCCGTGACTATTGCCAACAATCACTTGAACGATTTAGGTGGTGTAGGAGCCAATTTCACCACTGAAGTCCTGGAAAAGACGGGTATAAAGTATTTTGGAATAAGTTTCGGAAAATATGATTCCTCTCAGGTATAGTAACGAATTGTTTTAAATCCCATTTTCCTGGAAACGAGATGAAAGAATATTTAGGTAAAGCATGGAGATTTAATCTCAAACCAATACAACTATTTTATTTGAAAATAAACGTGTTTAACACTTTAGACATCTTAGTTAAGCTTTCAACGTTGTATTAATATCGTGTGACCTGGATATTTTTAATAAACGAATGGATTACAGCGAGGTAGCTGCAAATCTTTTCAACGAGAAGTATACTGTGTAACCATCACAGTTAACAATTATTCACCCGACAGGGTTGAGGAAGGTGTCATAACTATCGGTCGGCTTAACGGGCGATTCACAATTTATCAATTTAGACAGGTGTACTGTAGCTTAGTTGCAACATTTGGGTACTAGGGCTAGTCTACATTGAGTCTAGGGATCCCTGAGGTTGGTGAGGTTAACTGCTTAGCCGTGCTTAAAAAAAATAGACCATGTTTACCATGTTTACATACAATCTTACAATCACGGGATCCCGGGGTAAAGTTCCGACAGGTTGTTAGCGTACTTGCAAATGTAACGTGAACGCAACCTTGGCTAGGCGGGTTACCCCATCTTGAGACGTTTATAGGAAAAATTGTGAATGCCTATTTCAGGGTTACCTTCCACGGCACACCGGGTAACCCGGCTAGCAGGTTTCTCCAGTTATTATATAATTATGATCAAGATAAATTAAGAGGTTATATATATATGAACAGGCGTGTTATCTGACCTACCCGGGGTACTCCACCTCAATATAAACAAGCCCATATTAAATTCCATACAGCAGTATCTTCCGCTGTTAACTTTGCATTTACTCCAGCTAGATCTTAACAGACTTAATATACCAATATTTTTGATGTCATGTTTTAGGAACCTCTCATTATTAAAAGAGACAGAATCACAATGGCATTCCTCGGTTATTGTGTAACGCGCTCCGCAAAGAAAAACTGCAGCGAAATAAGGAAGTTGTTTAACTCGGGTCCTGCCATTTATGAAGATGATATCGCTACTAGAGACATCAGGAGGCTAAAGAAGGTTTAACTCAAGTTTAATATCTTTATGATTATCAGGGCGGTTTTTAATTGAGTGTCGAAACTGATCCAGGATTACTTTGATTTTGCTTTACTTCGCTTTGTGATTGGTCCAGAAAATTGGCGCCTCCTTTTAACTAACGAGATCAACTTAAACCACCCATGATTTGGTTACCAGCGTTTACCTACATTTCATGCAGGTTGCCTGTTTATACTTTGTGTTCTCATTGGGTAATGATGATGTTTACTATCGCTCATATTGGCTGTTGTGATACCTTTGGTTTTAGTTATCCGAAACTCAACTGAAAACTACACTAACTGGGAGGAAAAAAAATTTTTATTCATCTTTTTATACGCAGAAGGGAAAAGGCTTAGAATTGTGAACTACATAATTTTCTTCTTAAGCCAACTTAAAATAGCATCTAGGTAAAGAATGAATTGTTATTCAAACTGAGAAAAACTCCAACAAGAAGAAAATGCCATCTTCTGCGTCCTAGAACCTGCGCCCATAGTTATTAGTTGGACGTTGTTATAACCTGGCCGAACTAAGGAAGCCATGTATTGGGATCTTTGGTGGGCTTGCAAATTTAACCTGTGCGGCTAAAACCATAGTAATAATGATGATATCGACATTCCACGAGGTAGCTTTCTTGTCCACTGTTTCGTTGTCGAATTGGAATTCAGAATGTTGATATTGTGGAAGAAGGAAAACCGAAGGACCTGGAGAAAAACCCTCGGTTCGGGGACAGAACCAACGAGAAACTCAAGTCAGATATTACTTCCTTATTAATGCTGCGCCATCCCTGCTCCCGAAACAATTTATTTATCATCTACTTCGAGTTTTAACTTGATTTCTATGCATTTCATATCATCTTCTTTTATTTGAATACAATAAGGATCTATCATTCTAGTCATTCTATAACACGCGTATTGACTAGTTGTACTTTACCTTATTTATTTATTTATTTGTTTTACTTCCACAGGCCAAAGTTGACATTATAGTCGCTTTCATGCACTATGGTAGAGAACTCGCTTTAGAACCCTTCCCCTCCCAAAAGCGCATAAACAAACACCTGATGTCTCTTGGGGTGGATATGATCATTGGAACTCATCCACACGTTCTTCAGGATCACTGTCTTCACGATAATAAACTTATCGCTTACAGCTTGGGGAATTTTCTTTTTCATACTAACCAACCACCAAGTGCTGTTGATCCGGTAACGCATTCATATGGTTCAACTAGTGACTACAAGTACCTCTTGACTGAATGGAAAGGCCGTGTGGGAAAATGTTTGGGTGGTTGACTTGACGTAAACACCTGGCCGTGCTCGATCCTTATGACCTCTCCCCAAATATTTCAGTCTTTCTCGAGTATGGGAAAAGGAAAAAATATGAAAGTCTCGTGTAATGATTCGAAACTCAGACGTTCCTATTTAACACCGAACATCCAAATAAAAGGAAGGGAACTCTTCGGCAAGCCGGGCCACACTAAGTTCATTTTTGGGAAACTAGCTTCGAGGATACTGCTCAGATCGGCAATATAGAAAGCAGCTTTTTTCATGTAAAGATGTGGTAATCAAGGAGAAAGGCTTTAAACTCGCTTTTTGGATAAATATTTCAAGAGATACGTTTTACCTCTACCTATTGCTATATTCCAAATAGAATTACTCTTTCAAAATCATCCATAATTTTGTCATTTCTTCGTGTTCATTTCCCTTTTTTCCATACTTCTCCCTCTCTGTTTTCTTTCCTTTTTCGTTTTTTCGTACTTGTGTGTTTATCGTTTATTTTCCTCGCTCCTACTTGGTTTATGTTTGCAAGCTTGACGAAATCCTCTAACGGTACTTCCAAGTTTCTATATCCATGTTCAATTTCTTTTCAGAACGTTTACGGAAGATTTGGCGAGAAACCCAATAAAAAATTAATTCAGGAATATGAGCAGCTTGCCCTTGGGAACTGCGACGCGTTGAAACTATCCCGGATGCTTAAAGTCACCGTTTCAAGGTATAGTGCTACTTTGCATCTTATTTTCCAGGGCTTCTTTAAACCACAATCAAATTTTTCATCTTCAAGCATTAACTTAAACAAAAAGAAAGCAGTAGTTTGAAATCTGAAAGGTGCATTAATGTTAGGTGCTATGAAACCTTTGTCCATGAAGAGAAATCTGAAAAATAAGTGTAGGGATTAAAGAGCGATACAGGAAGAGTGAGAAAATTATGAAAAAGGTGAATGATTAGTCATTATTGAAAGGCGGATATGACTGACATTCGAGAGTCGAAGAAGTTCTTTGGATGTTTCACTTTAGCAGTCTATGTCTGTAAGATGTTGTCAGATATAGGCAGTGAAAATAATCATCAATCGTTGATCGGACATTATTTGAGTATATTGCGTTCGAAGGAAACAAATAACGTTTTGGTTAATAGGGTTGTTTCAGTTAAAAAAGTGCCAAAACTTACTTTTAAGTAATATAACAGGGCTTTTTTTTTTTTAATCGAGTGTCAAATTCGTGAATACATGCACAGAACAAACTAGTTTTTTTGTGATACAGAAAAATATAAAGGTAATAAAGATATCATACGAAGAAAAAAAATTGTCTGAAAACGAGAGAATATGAATAGTTGATATTCTTTAGATGAAAACTGGCAAATGGATCTGGAACAATAGCTGAGATGTAATATGAGACAGCAGTACTCTGGATGTCTATGTACATCTCACTGAAACAGCGTGTTTTCAAAAACAGCGATATTTTTAAATGAGACTTTCTCGCGATTTTGATCGGAATAATCAGTTACAAGCAATCATTTTCAATAAGGAGAAAATAGTTTGTATATTTTCAATTTCTTTCAGTTTCATTCAATCATCTCTCTTTATAGGAAAGGAGTAGTGGGAGCAAAGTATCTTCCACTGAAAGTCGCTTTCGATGAGGAAAATAAGCGACTGCACCCTGAACCCACAAAGAACGCAAAATGGATCACTGTATGCGGAGCTGAAGATCAACATTGTAAATGTCTCAAGAATTAGGATCAAATCTCTCTGAAAGAAGTCAATCTAAAAACACTTCAACTTCAACAAATTTCGTACCTAACAATATGATAGTTTATTTCATCTTCAAAACTACATTTTACTCGGCGCGAAAAGCTGATGAAGCGTCGGCAGTTTATTGGCGATATCAAACACGCGTAAAAATTAGAGCTATTTTACAATAACGGTTTTTTCTAAGTCTTCGCAAAACACCTTGTAAAACACCACATTTTATATAATACAGTATAGTTAAATTCTCTATGTTCTTTGTCATCGACCTTGACAATGCAACCTCTCTATTCATAGGGAAGAAATATAACCTTAATTAACTAATTATGTATAAGGTGCTTGCTGGCTACTTTTCTGGTCGCAATGATCTCGTTACGACATTGGCATTTATCGTCCTTAGCTCCACAGACTTCAATCTATTGAGCATTCTTTTCAGGCTCTGGGTGAAGTCTTTTGGTTTTGTGATTAAATTTGATTCTAAGAGGCAAATACTTTGCATTAACCACACCTTTCCTGTCACATGAAAATAAAGAACATTATTTTAAAAATTAGTGAAAAAAAATGAATTGAACTACATTTTCCAGTAAGAAGTCTATCTCTAAGAAAAGCATTCTTTCATCGAAGCCCTGTTTGAAAACAATTAATCAAATGATGAATAATAAACAGCTGTGACTTGTACCTTGAAACGTTGACTTTGAGCATCCGGGAAATTCTTAAGTCGTTGCTATTTTAGGACTCAATTTCAACTTCACTCGGCTTTTTGCCAAAACCTCCATACACAATCTTCGAGAAAAAAAGGGAGCAATGCATCAATTGACTGGCAGGAAGGGAAAAATGTTTTGCTTGCTAAGAAAGTAATGAACAAACCAATTAGAAATCAGGGATCTGACCTTCCGACCCTCCCCAGGGAGGGGAGGGTCGGAAGATTTTGCGTGTCACCATATCACAATAAAATTTACCAGAATCCCCTAAGGTTCTGTAATATCCTTATGGTAACCCCTCCCCCCCCACCTCTTGTCGTTAGCAGGTAATTGCTAGTCAATATTATATAGTACGCCCTTTTGTACCCTGTTGGCGACGGCTGATAGCCCCTCCCTTCCCCTCTAAAATCCATGTGATCCTAAACCCCCCCCTTAGGCGATAAATAGTGGCTGGTCCACAAATAATTTATGAAATAAGATGCAGGATGGCTATAGGTGGGAATAGAATAATAAAGATATACATGAATTAAAACACAAGAAGAAAAAAGAAAGAAAGGGAGGAAAAGAATTAGTAAACAGGTCGAACGGATAAATACGTAACTGGATTGCTTCCCCGTTTATAAGGACACGGATGAAATAGGAAATTCCCCAAGCTGTCTTCAATAAGCTTGTTATGTTTGACACAATGTCCCTGTACCACGTGCGGATGGGCTCCAATGATTATATCCACGCCGAGAGACAGCAGGTGTTTGTTTATATCAATCTGGTAGGGGAGTGGTCTTAATTTTGTTTCCATTCCATAATGCATGAATACAACTATGATGTCACCTTTGGCTTTTAAAAAAAATACAACCCAAACGTTTCAAATTAAAATCAAAATGAATGAGCGTTTAGCTCTTTTCCCAGAAAAAGCGACATATTTGAATGTTCGAAAAGTCGTACAAGACTACACTGAAAAGTTTCCACACGTTGCAGAAACATTTGAAACATAATAAACACAATAGCTTATATTGGGAGCAAAATTGTGTTCATAAATATTTTTCTTTGGAAATTCTCTGTTCATCGAGACTTACTCGAAATAGAAAGCGGGCGCAGACAAATATCCAAGTGCATTTTCGAGCCAAAGGGAGGCTATTGTTTATATAACTTTAGCCTCCCGCTTACCAGGAAGGTCCTCGCGAATAGCTACTTTAGATTTATTTTTCGAGGCTAATGCACCGATAACTCCGATGAATCGCTCTATTTGTACGACAGACCGAGAGCTCATCTTAACCAAAATCGATCTTCATCGGATATCAGTCTGATAATTTCTGTAACTATACCCTTGGCATAGTAAAAAATCTTGTTCTTAACGGGTACAAATTCAAATTTCCCTTGGAGCCTTTTAGGGTTTCACTCTTGTCTTATTCGTATCGATGAGCTGAATTTTTTTCGTCCTTTCTTCCTTGCAGAGCATGTATCCTTGATATTCGTGGGAGATATTTATTTCGCTGGCCCAGTCAAATATTACGTGGAGCGTAAGTGCTACACATACAATGACTCTTTCAAAGAAGTGGCTCCATATATCAGAGATGCTAATATGTCTGTGTGTAATTTGGAATCTCCATTCGTCAACGAAGATGTTTAGACCCACATGTTCAAAGGTGAAAAGACAGTTTTACTCATTGCTAACAAGGATGCTGCATCAGCGCTGAGGTATGCGAGATGAATTTACCATAAATCCCTCGCCGACGACGCTTATAGAAAATTGTTAAGTAAGAGACCAGTATTTACATGAAGAGAGGATCCAATTACTCTCTCTTGTCATTGTTTTCAGGGGAAACGGGGAGCAAATCAGACGACACCAACAAAGTATAAGGAAAGGGGGCTACTATATGGAGAATTGACGGAGGGGGAGGGGAAGAAACATAAGAATATTACAGATCCTCATACACCTAATTCCAATATGGCCGACAACACTTGTACGCGATTGGGCCAGATCATGAAGTCGAGGTTACTCAGGAAACATCTTGGAGAGCAAGTTGCTATAATTTGATATATCGTGTGAAAACATCGTCTTTATCTTCACTATTTTACTATATATCTACATATTATCGACATGCCTACAAGCTGTTGTGTTCCTCAATGTAACCAACAGGGTTTTACAACGCCAACAGGGGAAAAAGCGGGGAAGGGTTACCATAAGGATATTACAGAACCTCAGGGGGAACCAGGTAAATTTTATCGTGCTATGGTGATACGACAAAATCCTCCGACCCTCCCCGGGGAGGGCAGGGTCGGATCCCTGATTTCTAATTGGTTTGTTCATTACTTTCTTGGCGAGCAAAACATTTTTCCGTTCCTGTCAGTCAATTGATGTATTTCTCCCTTTTTTTCTCGAAGATTGTGTATGGAGGTTTTGGCAAAAAGCCGAGTGAAGTTGAAATCGAGTCTTACGAGCATTACGCCTTTGGAACTAGCAACGACCTAAGAATTTCCCAGATACTCAAAGTCAACGTTTCAAGGTACAAGTCACAGCTGTTTATTATTCATCATTTGATTAATTGTTTTCAAACAGGGCTTCAATGAAAGAAATGCTTTCTTAGAGATAGATTTCTTGCTATAAAATGTAGCTCAATTAATTTTTTTTTAAAAATAATGTTCTTCATTTTCATGTCGCAGGAAAGGTGTGGTTAATGCAAAGTATTTGCCTCTTAGAATCAAATTTAATCACAAAACCAAAAGACTCCACCCTGAGCCTCAAAAGAATGCTCAATGGATCGAAGTCTGTGGAGCTGAGGACGATAAATGCTTATGTCGCAACGAGATCATTGCGACCAGGAAAGTAGCTAGCAAGCGCCTTTTATATAATTAGTTAATTACTCATAGGGTTATATTTCTTCCCTATGGAAGGAGAGAGGTTGCATTGTCAAGGTCGATGACAAAGAACATAGAGAATTTAACTATACTTTATTACATAAAATGTAGTGTTTTACAAGGTGTTTAACGAGGACTTAGAAAAAACCATTATTGTAAAATAGCTCTAATTATTTACGCGTGTTTGATATAGCTAGTAAACTGCCGACACTTCATCAGCTTTTCGCACCATGCAAAATGTATTTTTGAAGATGAAATAAAATATCATATTGTTAGGTAAGAAATTTGTTTTAAATACTATTTAGAAGAGATTTGATTTCAGAGAGATTTGATCCTAATTCTTGAGACATATACAGTGTTGATCTTCAGCTCCGAATACAGTGATCCATTTTGCGTTCTTTGTGGGTTCAGGATGCAGTCTTGCCATGTTTTAATTATCGAGTTGTTTGCCGCCATCTTGACTTCAATAAAACATGGCAAGGACGCATGCGCGTTCGCATTGATTCCTGAGCTGATAGCTCAAAACGCGCGCACACTGTGAGTCAATATTCACTCGTGCACGAAATTATTCAACATGTTGAATATTCTGAGCTCATGGTACGCGTGACAAAAATCGCAGAACATGACACCGCACACTTGAGGAAACAGCTTACGCCAACAGCCATGAGTGACGCTCAGCTCAGCTGATAGCTCTAGTGTGCGCCGGGCTTGAGTTTGTCTTTGGTTTTCACCCTGATCCGAGGGCTTTTCTCCAAGTCCTCCGGTTTTCCTTCCTCCACAATATCAACATTCTAAATTCCAATTCGACAAGGAAACAGTGGACAAGAAAGCTACCTCGTGGAATGTCCATTGCTATATCTCATGATTATTATTATTATTATTATTATTATTATCATTATCGATATTATCATTATTACTATGTTTTTAGCCGCACAGGTTAAATTTGCAAGCCAACCAAAGATCATCTCGTTCCAAATACGTGGCTACCTTAGTTCGGCCAGGTTGGTAACAACGTCCAACTACTAACTATAGCCGCAGGTTCTATCACGCAGAAGATGGCATTTTCTTCTTGTTTACAGTTTTTCTCAATTTGAATAACAACTCATTCTTTACCTAAATGCTACGTTAAGCTGGCTTAAGAAGAAAATTATGTCATTTATAATTCTAAGCCTTTTCCCTTCTACGTACAAAAAGATGAATAAATTATTTCTTAACTTTCAGTTAGTGTAGTTTTCAGTTGAGTTTCGGATTACTAAAACCAAAGGTATCACAACAGTCAATATGAGCGATGCTCAACATCATTATTACCTAACGAGAACACAAAGTATAAACAGGTAACCTGCATGAAACGCAGGTAAATGCTGATAACGAAATCATGATTCGTTTAAGTTGAATCTCGTCGGTTAAAAGGAGGCGCCAATTTTCTGGACCAATCACAAAGCGAAGTAAAGCAAAACCAGAGTAATCCTGGATCAGTTTCGGTACTCAATTAAAAACTGCCCTGATGATCATAAAGCTATTAAACTTGAGTTAAACCTTCTTTAGCGTCCTGATGTCTCTTGTAGCCATATCATCTTGATAAATGGCGGGACCCGAGTTGAACAACTTCCTCATTTCGCTGAAGTTCTTCTTTGTGGAGGGTATTGCACAATAACGGAGGAATGCTATAGTGATTCTGTCTCTTTTAATAATGAGAGGTTCCTAAAAAATGACAACAAAAATATTGATATCAGCTTAAAACTGGTTTAAGATGTATCTGTTAAGATCTAACAGGAGTAAATGTAACGTTAACAGCGGGAGATACTGCTGTATGGAATTTAATATGGGCTTGTTTATATTGAGGTGGAGGACCCTAGGTAGGTCAGATGACCTGTCTGTTCATATATATAACCTCTTATTTTATCTTGATCATGTTTACATAGTAACTGGAGAAACCCGCCTAGCCGGATTACCCGGTCTGCTGTGGAAGGTAACCCTGTCAAAGGCATTCCCAATTTTCCTCAAACTTCTCAAGATGCAGTAACCCACTTAGCCAAGGTTGCGTTCACGTTACATTTGCAAGCGCGCTAACAACCTCTCCCTGGCCTCAATGTGTACTGGCCCTAAGAGTACCCAAATGTTGCAAATGAGCTACAGTACACCTGTCTAAATTGATAAATTGTGAATCGCCCGTTAAGCCGACCGACAGTTATGACACCTTCCTAAACCCTGTCGGGTAAATAATCATTAACTGTGATGGTTACACAGTATACGTCTCGTTGGAAAGATTTGCAGCACTCTTCTAGACGCTCCCTTGCTGTTCACAAATCCATTCGGTTATTAATAATATCCAGGTCACACGATATTTATTCAACATTGAAAGCTTAGCAAAAATGTCTAAAATGTTAAACACATGTAACATAGTTGTATTAGTTTGAGATTAAATCTCCATGCTTTCGCTAAATATTCTTTCATCTCGTTTCCAGGAAAACGGGGTTTAAAACAATTCGTTAGTGTACCTGAGAGGAGTCATATTTTCCCAAACTTATTCCAAAATACTTTATACCCGTCTTTTCCAGGACTTCAGTGGTAAAATTGGCTCCTACACCGCCTAAATCGTTCAAGTGATTGTTGGCAATAGTCACGACATCAAATCCTGCAAACCTGCGTGGAGGATCCAAGAGTATAACTATCGGGCATGTGCAATATATACCCTGCTATTAGGCTTGAAAACTTCTCATTGCAAACGAATAATTTAAACTAGGTCCTCACTTCTGAGATGGCTGAAGACGGTGCTAAAATAATATTTCGCAAGTTACTTTCATATTCTTCCATGTTATGAAATTCTTTTATCGTATTAATGAAATTTGTTTCTATATTTTTTTAAAATTCAGTTTGGGATTTACTTAATTAGTATTGATCAGATTCACTTCAGGACAAGCAATAGGCGGGCGGAATCAATGTATTTGCACCTGTTTATTTATTAATTTTTTGATGTCGTTTGTTTTGTTTTATTTTTTTAACTGATGTAATGCAAACCTTACGATAATGATCTCAGATCAGTCTTAGATTCAAATGTTATTTTGAACATAGAATCATTTCTTCCAGCTGTTGCTCATCTCGAGATTGTCGTAGAACAGACGGTATGAAAAGAATCGATACTGAATGTGAAGGCGATCTTGGCAGTGATGAACACTACTTAAGCAGTAGTGAAAATGAGGCGAACAGAAATTTCAAATACCGAAAATAAATTTTCAAATCCCGCACAGGCCTTATTTTCACCACTTCTTAAGTAGTGTAAAAACCGCAGCTCACATATATGATTTTCATATAATTTTATTCACAGTCATGGAATGTTATTAAAATGAATAAAGGGGGTAAATTTCTAAAGAAACTGCGCTACTTTTTCTGTGGCAGGATATAACAAGATGATTTGGTTTGATCGACTGAGTTGACGATGTTAATTGGCCACCGTAAAGAGTTTATAAAGCTGACGTTTCGAGCGTTGTCAGAGGGAATAACTAAGAACTTATGCTCGTCAGCTTTAGACTCTCTTTATATCGTTGAACGGTTTACTTACGGCACAAATGGGTTGGATGTTGGTTTAATGCAGCTCGAACGAAAAGAGGAGCTCAAATGCATTACCCCACACTTTCATAGTAGAATGAAATTACAAAATTCTGCACCCTCTAAAGGAAAACTCCACTGTAGAACAAATCGTCCTTAAATTATAAAAAAAACAAACTTTGGAGATAAACTCTGTTGACATAAAAAAGGTACGGGTTCTATTTAAGCTGGAATTTTATACGCGCCGCCATTTTGGATGATGTGCCCTTATAGGACATAAAAGAATTATTCAGTGTCTGATGATAAAAGTGGCAGCCGTGTTACGGGAAATTCAAATATCATTTTGTTTGTATTCCTTTCTAGTTTTCTTACTTTCCCATATATTCTTGTTTCACAAATTTTTCCTAGAATCTTCGTAGCACAATAAATTTTCCATGCAGTTTAACGGAAGCTTGTTCTGACAGTGGAGGCCTCTTTAAAAACGATTTCTTCCTTGTGTAAATTTAAACTTTACCAGTTTCCGTTATGATTTTCGCCTGAGCGCTGATGCAGCTTTAGGAGTGGCATATAGCAAAACTGGTTTTCTCCCTCGGTAAAGGTGATTAAGAACATGTTGGTTGGCAAATGGCGACTCCAAATTACCCACTGAAATGTCCGCCTCTCTGATGAATGGAGCCACGTCATTGAAAGTATCATTGTACGTATAGTACTTGTGATCAACATAGTATTTGATGGGGCCAGCAAAGGAAATATCTCCCACGAAAAGTAATGTAACTTCATCTAAAATGTTCAAAGAAGGCAAATATGATGATATTGCAATAAATATAACTTACAATAACATTTGGTTTCGAGATTTCTGTCGCGTAAGTGTTGATAATATAGACTAAGGTTTTTTTAAAATTTCGTGCTATTTTTAAAATGCATTCTTGTTTATTTTTTCATGATTACCTTCATGATAATAAGTAATGGTAATAGGACTGAGTGGAGTCCATTTCGGTTTGTATCCATACGAGTGATAACAAATATCACGGATGATATATGGATGCACTTGGGAAATTTGGAGAGCAATCGAAAAGCTAGAGCTCTCGGCTGCGCCTCGAGCTACTCTTACGCATTTTTCGTGCTCTCCAAACTTCCCGCGTGCATCCATAACTCGATATACGCACGCTAAGCATGAACAAATTCTTCAATAATTAGCTATAATTTGGTCGTGTACAAGAGTTCAAAATTTACGTGTACTTACTAGGTTACTTAAGCCTACTAAATGATGCCATTACAGAAGGCTAAATATCTTCAAAAAAAGACAAAATTCAGTCCGAAATAGTTTTCTCGCGACCAGTTATGAGAAGTTGGCGTTAAGACCGCGTTTTGCTCAATTATACAGGCACCACTTTTAAACAAATGAGCAAGTTTTCAACTTTAGTAAATCGTTGATTTTGAAGAAAGTAAATGCAGACCGACATTCTAAATGCCAATAGCGTACTAAAAGGATTGTTTGGGCTCTGTATGAATAAATTCGTTCCTATGGATTCATACATACCGCCCGAGAAAGGAAGGATTCTTCTTTCTAATAACATTTAATAGCGGGCGCAGCGTAGTCCCATAATTATACGAAATAGTAGGAACTCATCAAGCCGAAAAAATTTGGACGTGCGACCGTACGACCGACCGTACAAGGTGCTACTTTTAGCATGCGAGGCCAACTGTACCACGGGCACTATCTCAGCCATTACGTAATGGGAGGGTGAGGGAGAAGGTCATGCACAGGCGCGATTGCGCGCGTAACTTGGATACCCCATTAGTGTGCGCCAGGAGACACCGGCAGATGACAATGAAGAGCGCATGCTCGAGTGTCGAGCTTCAGTGTGGCGTACCGCGGGCACACGGCTAGGCATTGCACGAGGGCTTCACGCGGGATAGTGGATGTGAAGCCGCGTAAGCAAATAATTTGCAACCCACGTTTTGAGCCCGAAATCAAACCAGTGAGGTTGAAGTTGAACAGTAATTCTCAGTATTTTGCAATTTCTAATCAACTCGCAAAGCAACAATACCGGCAGAGCTAAAGCTTTATCAACAGGAGGAAATTGTTATGTTTCAAGTTCGTGGAGAGAGGGTTTTGAGTGAAAATAGGATGAAAAGAAAGAGACTGAGCGACCGAAAAAAACAAGAAGTAAAAGACGTAAAGCGAGTCGAGAAAAACGCGCAAGAAAGTCAGAGAGGACACCAAAATAGGCAGAATACGGTGAAAGGAACGCGAAGGAGAACAAGAAAAGACATAGGTAAAAAGGCAAATATCTAGCGAAGAGCAACGTGAGAAGGAAATACAAAGACGCTCCTGAAAAGAGACCGAGAAGAGGTCATCAACAAAGAGAAGCGAACTACAAAGGATCCGACAAAGAGGAGGAGGTAAGTCGTGTCTTATCTGGGTTTTCTCTAACGCTAAGGTCCAGAAAAATTCAAACCTTTTTTAACAATAGTCGTTTGATTCTGGCTTCAGTTTATAATTAAAATCACGTTTCGGTAAAACAATGACTTTGGCCTTCATCGCCTAAAAACCCTCACGCCGGTTCATCGCTTGTATAACATTTCAAAGTGTTCGTATTTTTCAATGTATTTCTTGTTCTGTCGTTTGGAATGTTTTATACAGTTGTGGTGTTAATGGAAAAGAAGTTATCTTACGGATTTTGTTTTGTCCAGATAGCTTTCAAATCTCTCTTCAATCACCTGTCGCAGGATTTGCTCTGTTCATTTAAAAAAATCGCGCTTTGTCGAAGAAGTGGTAGAACGAAGTGGTAGCCTTTCCCAAAATTGAAAAAAAATTATATTGAGTCAGCGATGTCTATGTTTACATTAAGTCTGACGCGGTAATTTGATTTTGACAATATTGTCATGTGAGAACCCGTCGAACATCTGAGAATTAAATTAAGGACCGCAAATGTGTGGTGCGAACAAACTCACGGGTAAAGTGGAATTAGTTCTACTGCTGAATGAGTGAACTTCATTGTTTAGTCATAGTACTTCTCAGCGCTATGTTTTCATGCTTCCTACTCGATTCGTACGAACTTCAGGAAATAATTTCAATTGTCTCACAAAACATGGAGCCACTCTCTCTTCTCTCAACATCTCGAGGCGTACTTACTGCTCGGTTTGTGATGAACATGCTTGCGATACGATATTTTTTTCCTAATGCTGGAAACTGAAGAATCAATATCTGAAGTCGATAGTCATCACATTTTGCAAGAAGCGTCGGAGCTGTGATCGTGTAGTTAAACAGGGTCTTGGCAATTTGAGCTCACATGCACGCTGCTAAGCACATGGTTGTCAGTAATTAAGAGCGATAAATCCGTATTTGTAGCACAAGCGAAGCACATTTTAAACTTTCCATACGATTTTAGGAAACTATATTTAATTGACACGCGATAAATTGACCTGCCATAACGCGTTGATTATTTAACTATCTTGTAGCTCTAAAAGCCCGGCTTATGACTCTGGAAGTACTGAACTTGATATGTTTAATACACTAGGCACCATTGAAGGAGGAAAGTTAGAATAAAGTAATTGTGTTTACGACCATACATTGCACCCGGTTTACATAATTATGTAGATAATTGCTCTAAAAATACCTTTATAGCTTTCTTCAGAAGCAAAGACAATATGCCCCTGCTTTATTTTTATTGTAAGGGGTTTCTTTTTATCTAACATATATCCATTCTTTAATTTCCTCTTTAAACTGCCTGCAAATAATTAAATTCTATGTTTTAATTCAAGTGTAAGAAAATAAAACAGTAGTGTTGCAGAATTCTCTTTACAGACTGAATTCAGGTGAGAGCATCAGCATCATCCTCCTGAATCTTTAATTTTATTGCCCTGGTCTTTTTCACAAAGCCTCTTTTATATCTCTGTGTGCCAGCCAATGATTAAAATATCAGTGAATATTTTAGCAGTCTTTTTAAATTCCATGTTTAAGTTTTTTGCATTTACTATTTCAAAATTCATAAATGGCATTCTCTTTTCATCCATGTAAAGAGATATTACACATTTCTTAAACTAAAATCTGAATCATGAAGTCAACTTAATTTCAATGAGTTTGAAACTTCATTGTACATAAGAACACTTTACATTTATTTGCTGTCTTTCTGGTACATATGATTACATAACTCTTTAACTTTCAAGGTTTCATCAGCAATTCTCTTTGCTGTCTGCCATACAATTTATGTGATGTTTGGTTGGAGAGTTTGGAATTGGATCAAACATGAAAAATATTTTTTGGTGTGGCTGTTGTTCTTTGTTGATCTTTGTAGCCGAAAAAGCTGGTAAAGGCACTGAACTTCATTTATGTACAAAAGGCACCCTTCAAGGTGGAAGAGTAGAAGACCATAGACTGATGTTTACCAGGCAGTTGCACTCACCACAATTATATATTTAAGCAATACTCTACATATGTAAAACTGATTACATGATGTCTATAACCCTTTACACCCTATCATCAGTATGCATATTCTCCATTCTGTTCTCCATTCATTTCCTGATGTGCTGGCAAGAAGAATTTGTTTAACAATCAAGAGGTTCTTCAGTTGATTATCGTTTCCTTTATTCTCATGACCTTAATGCTTAATTTAGGAATGATATTGAAAGGAGAAATGAGATACTAGTCACTCTCAGGAATTAAAGTGTTAATAACTGTAAACACATTTTATATGCTCCTTGCATTTGTTGGCAACAATAGTTAGAATTGTTAGGAAAGCAAACAGATCAACAGAAGACCATGAAATCAGAGAAACTGTAAACTTTACGCTATGGTAGAAGAAACGATCACAGAATACTTAAGAAGGGAAAATTGAATTGTGCCAGCCAATTTACTCTACTGCCCTTCATGTTTTTGATCAAATAAAATTTAATCAGTTGTAGGGTTTGCTTACAATGTGTCAAATCACCAATGTGGACTTGATTCTACTCAGATGTTAGCTGGTAAAAGATAGATACTAAAAATAGATGACCATTAGAAAATGTACGCATCTTTAAAAAAAATCACGCTGAACTGGTGGCGTGATTGATTTGTGATATTTAGAATGACAGAAGCAGGAAAAACGCATCAGGCTTTTTCCTATTCATTTGTAAGTTTATTAGATTTTGGATTCTACATTCAAACTGGGTGAGATTAA